GATGCAACCCTGTGGACCAGCGACGAAAAGGCCCTGTACTAAGCTTTCCATCACGGAAATTCGTAATCGATGTGCTGACCGATGGATATTTATCGACTAAGTAATAATCTTGCCCAACATCTGTAGTATCGTGGGGGAATGATTTTTTTCACGTCAAATCTTTACCGAACCTAAACTGCTTGCTAACTGAAAGGCTGTGATGACCGGAGATCATCTGCGATTGCGGCGACACCAAGTACTGATAACATAAAATTATATGTATATTTTTAATGTCTTCATGCAATATATTCTGAGTTATCCACTTTATTCTGGCCCGCGAATTAATAGGATACAATTTTAAACATGTTTTTGAACGCCGCGAATTAAAAGGATACATTTAAAAATTAGCGTTCGAAAATAAAATGGGTGCGCGAACTAATAGAGACCGCGAATTAATCGAGTTTTTACGGTACCTCCAAGCTGTGTAATGTAATATAAATGATAATACATTAATTTTGGATTACTGACAAATTCTTTATTTAAGCAGGATTTAATTTTTGCGAAAAAGACATTTTGGCTGTTTGAATTGAATTTCATTTTCAATGATTTTTGATGTGTTGAATGTGAACTATAGGAAAAAAGGTATTTTCACTGGATTTATTTTTTATGATTCATTACCTCAGTGAAAATACAGGTAAATGTGGTGTATGGTTAATTTATTAAAATATAAATAACATTAGTGACTTCAAATGGCTGTTGAAAATCATTTGAATCAATCACAGACAATTGTTATTTTTATGCCACTAATTGCAGATGAATACAATTTCAAAATGAGATTGTCGTTCAGTCAGCCTTCTGCACAAGACAAGATATAGACAAGATCCTCAAACAGCAAATCAAATGCTCTTGTTTGAACTTGATCTACATTTATAAATATACAACATCGAATGATAATCCAAAATGATTGTAAACTGGTTTCAGTAAATTTATTTTGATATGTTAGAGAAATGTTTCTTCTTTGTTTATAGATTGTTTTTCATCCCGAGTTTCTCTCATCAACCAATCCATTATTCGCCTGTGATTATGAAGAATTTGTAAGAGGATGCCATCTTGGAGTTTTCCCATCATATTATGAACCGTGGGGATACACTCCAGGTAAGGAGAATTTAGTTAGATCCAACCAGCGAATCAATGAGTGCAGTGTGAAATGCATCATTTGAAAATATTTCAGTGTTTTTTCATCAGCCAACAAAAATTCTTTCTGTTTGAGTTTTATAAATATTTATAAAATTTGTTTTCAACACATGATAAATGATATTTCTAGAAATCATTAAGATTTCATCTTCATCTATTTCTTGCAGCCGAGTGTACGGTAATGGGTATTCCTAGTGTCACAACCAATCTGTCTGGATTTGGTTGCTTTATTGCACAGCACGTAGCTGACCCTACATCGTATGGTATCTACATCGTTGATAGGCGATATAAAGGCCTGGAAGAGTCTGTACAACAGCTTTCACAAGTACGTGGCAATAATAACTTTCTCACCAGTGAGGGCAGTATTCATCTCACGTATGTAAAAGTTAAAACTAATAATAATAACGAGATTCATTACCATAAATGGGATAACATTTAAATTGTTTCTTTTTTTATACAGTACATGTTTGATTTCACACGTCTGACAAGACGACAACGTATTATACAGAGGAATCGTACTGAGCGTCTCAGTGATCTACTAGATTGGAAGAGTTTAGGCTTTGTAAGTTAATATCAACACCAGTTGTGCGCACTTGTTTTTTTCTGTCCTGATTGTGGTATAGTTGTACATATTGCATCAGGGAGGTATAATGTGAATTTTTGCTGCTAGAAATTTGCCTGATTTGAAGATTTTATGGTAGTTCTGACCCTTGTTACTGACACTTTTATGTAGAGTAAAAATCACAAAATTTTGCAGCAGTGAAAATTACTCTGGAGTCAAAAGTGGTAGGGATTTTTGCAAAATGTTGCTTTCATGAAAGACGTAACATTATCCAATCGCAAATATTTCTAGATGCGAAAATTACTCTGGGATCCTTCAACACAAAGTGCTAGTGATTTTTGCAAAATGTTGCTTTTATGAAAGACGTAACATTATCCAATCGCAAATATTTCTAGAAGCGAAAATTACTCTGGGATCCTTCAACACAAAGTGCTAGTGATTTTTGCAAAATGTTGCTTTCATGAAAGACGTAACATTATCCAATCGCAAATATTTCTAGAAGCGAAAATTACTCTGAGATCCTTCAACACAAAGTGCTAGTGATTTTTGCAAAATGTTGCTTTCTTGAAAATTATCTCCTTTGAGCGCTCAGACCACCAGCAACAGACTAATTGCGTCTACTCTGAAAACTGTTAGTATGGACCAAAATTAGGATAAAATTTAGTGACAATTTCACAAAATTTGAAAATATTTGCACTGAATTGTGGCGGGAAAAATATCCAGCAGTCTCAAAGGGTCAAGTAGTTTACAGTACTTCATGTTAATTCACTGATCCAAAGCAAGATGGCATATGGATGGCCCGATTTAGTTATAAATATGCATCGAATAAAGCATGGATGAATATTGTTCGATTGTGTGGTGGGGGACTGTGTCATGATGATTGTTTATTATTTTTGTGTTTCAGTATTATCGTAAAGCTCGTCATTTAGCTCTGCAAAAAACACATCCTGATATGAT